TTCCATTAACGCACAAATGAATTTAGAACGGTCGAAAACCGTGTTTCAATGAGACTTCCACAATGAAAAGAAAGTGCAGATGGTGCGGGGACTTAAGGACTCGTTTCTATGGTGTCTGGCAATTTTTCAAGCACCCAGGGTGCGATTCTACCTGTTAATTAGATCCACTGAGTATTCAAGACACATGAGGCTTTCACATCCATGCTCAATGCCATAGGCTCATCGTTTGCAGAAGCGGCGAAGGTCCTAGTGCCACTCTTCAAAACAATAACAAACTAAGTGCAAATGGATACTGCAATCAGCAATATATACCTTTAACTCCTCTCAGAAGTGTGCAACATCAAAGGTAGTCCTGGATAGGCTTTGCCTGGCGAGCAAGCTTACTTGTGTTTGTTTGAGAAAGAGGGGGAGGAGAGAGGGGAGCTACAGCAAAAATGCTCTCTCCAAGGTAAATACCTTTTTAGACAGAGACTTACATTAAAAATAATTATTATTTATTAATGGAGAAATGCTCTGTAACAGAGATAACCCTAATATCCCTCCTTTTCAAGCAAATAAAACAAAATACAACATTTATTAAACTGGGGTATCCATTGCCCATCTGTTTACAAGTGCTGTCTTTCTGATAAAGGTTCAGAAATGTTAAAGGCTATTTCAAATAACAATTAGCAGCCAGTTAAAGAGTTCATTTCCTTTTCTTTTCTTCCTCCTTCAAACATCTTTGCATCTTTACACAGCCTGTACCTCCTTAGGATTAATTGGGAGATTTGCTTGAGTAAAGACTGCAGAATTTGACTCAGAGAATCAAATATATGTCTTCATTATCCAGAGCAACATCAGTAAAGTCATTTGAATCAATCCAGATTTAAAGTGGTGAAACTACAAAGATTTACAATGGCAGGAACATTCCCAGGAAAACTCAGTAGTAGAAGCACACAACCAGGCATGCAAACATGTACATTTACAACAGTAAATGAAGACTAGTTCCAGTTATTAACCTGGCTGTATTTTAACTCAGCAATTATCACAGATTAGTGATTAGTTATTACTCCTGTGGAAGCCTCTGAGACAACTCCAGTACAAGGCAAATAACTATGTAAATCACAGATTTAATTAAGGAACTAGCTACAACATACATGTCAGTAATTGCAAATAGTAATATATAGATAGTGTCTGTGATTTATATTTAGTTTGTAGATAAAAATGTCCGAGAATAGAGTGATGTGTGGTTAGATGTAGTGGTTGGGATAACAGAATATAGAGGAGGTGAAAATACAAGTTAGTTCCTGAATACTACAAAGAGATTTTGACATCTACACTTTCAACTTGAAATAAACAGGATGAATGTAGGATAAAGTAGCACCCAAAATAAGGCACAAGCCTTGATGTCCATACCCTTTCCAAGAAACTGCATGGTAAAAAGTCAGACAAGTGAGTACACAGGCCCAGAGGCCAACAGCACCAATAGAAAACGAGCTACGATAAAAATCTCTGCTGATTTACATGTCTCGTGCTACAGCCACAACTGGTCCCTTCACACTGTGGTGGACGACAGCCAAGTAACCTTTTTTTTTTTCTTCTTTTTTTTTCCCAAACCTCACTGAATATCTTTGTGGCATCAATGGTTGCCTTTGCATTCAGAGCAAGTTTGAATTTATACAGAAAAACGAAGTTCAGATGTGCTGTACATAAAAAAATAGAATAGCATCACCAGATTCAAGATGATCTGTGAGAAACTCAGTCTTGAGCTTAAGAAAAAGGGAGATTTTCAAGATATTAATTCCTTGGAAAGGAAGGACATAATGATTCCATGGAAAAGATAGTGTGAATGAAAAACTGATTCCCAACTGCTAAGAGTGTTTAGGAAGGAAATAGAGAGGAGGGTTAAGGTGTGCTTTTGCAAGCTTAATTTATTATTGACAGTTGACAGGGAGCTGCTGAGTGTACGGCACTGAGTTTGCTTGACATTAAGATTCAGTCTAACAACCAATTACAGAGATTGGGTTGACATAATTCGAAAGTTTCTCTAAGGTGTAACATATGGAAGAAATGACTCTCCTGTGGTATCAAGAAAATCTTTCTACACACAATGCATTAATTTCAAGCTGGGCTGAAACCCTTTATTTTGATTCTGCCCCTGTTTTAATGCTTACTGACAATCAAGAACTAGCAGCCCTGAGCTCTGAACTCCCTAACATGTTTTCTTCAACTGAGTCTGTCAATGGGTAGCATTTTCCTGAGATCCTTTGCTAATTGTAGAGCTGAAGGCTGCTGCATAGTTATTCTGTTCTGCCTTGACCCATTGCTCTTATCATGCATAGCTCCCTGTTACTTCTGACAGATCAGATTTAGTGATTTGCAGATTTACAAGTAGCAAATGGAGTTTCTCAGGAATTTGCACTTGATAGCTTGGGTCTCAATTTATCTCATATCACATCACTGAGAATTTTCTGTTATAGAGTATTTTCAGTCCAACAGTAGGTAAAATGTTTTTTTAAAAGAGGTGTATTTACACTGCTGTAGTCCCAACAAGGTCAAACAAAACTGCGTTTAAAAATTCCAGAGAACAGTCAAAAACAACATATCTCCTGAGCACTTCCTTCTCAGGTGGTCAATAGAAGTTGGGTTATTATGTTACAAAGGTCAGTGCTCCTGAACACTTTCAACCTCTGTTGACTTCTGTAGGAGCAGGGAACCTTCAGTACATCACAAGACAACATAATTTTTCAAAAGACAGGGATTGGGCCTCAGGTGCCCCCTCATTTACAATCAGCGAAGCTTTAAACTTGCATCCCTTGAGTAGTGTGTGAAAACAGAAGAGGATTCCCTTTTGCTGCCAGAGGCTGGAGACCTCTTCTCCCAGAGGAGGATGTTCCTCTGGAAGATGCCGGTATGAAAGCACAATGCAACCAACCACGGCAGATTAGGGGAACAAAGGAAGCACAACGTGGAGTCCCACGGGTAGGGTTTGTTACAGCTTTACCTTTTCTCAGCGTTAAGTTATCAACGAACAATGAACAATTAACCTTGACATCGATTAAGCATGACACAATGATAGCAGAGAGTATTGAGCAGGCTCTAGTAGTTTAGAGAAGGCATCTTGTCACGTGGACCTCCAGGTTTGCGACTAATCTAGGTTACTTCTATTTGAACATACGTACGGCCTTACACTAAAAAAAGTGCCCATCTCCCTAGGTTGCAGTGCGCTGAGAGTAGAATTCATGGTCCCCGCAGAGATGTTTACGTAACTATCTTTATCGAGAGAAAATCGGCTATGATTCAGAGCTTTTGAGACTGTAGGGACCAGAATAGACAAGCAGATTCCAGAGACAAATCTGAAATAATATAAATGCTTCTTTGTTACAATCCTTTCTGATTAGAAATAGCAAAGCTTTCTCCCCCAAAAGTGAATAAAGGGGGAGACTTTTTTTTTTTTATGAGATCATTTGGGATTCAATGCTATGTTTTTCACTAAATCGCAGCAGATTTTGACTAGTGTGAGCAGGGATTTCAGGAGGAAGGAACTGAGTTGCTTTTGTATTGGTTAAAAGTATTTTTTCTTGAAAAATACAACACGAAAATTCAAGCGTCATGCCCTAATACCACGTATCCACACCATTTAATCAGCTGAACTATTACTCATAATGGCAGCTAATGACATTTAAAAGCCCATAAATCTCGTCTGAATGCTTTTAAACTACAGGTTTTAATGTCAACATTACAGAGGCCCCCACCAGAGGGGTTGTCATTATATGATTACGATGTGAGGTGAACAGAAAGGGTATGAAATGCTGACAGTCCTCCAACCCCACCTAGTCTTAATTCCTGCTTAGTCCATGAGAAGAACTTTGGGTAGGGCTAATCAGAATTCACCTCATCTTGACAAATTTTAAAAACAATAATCATTCTCAGGGACCAAAATCTTATTAAAAGAAAAAAAAAAATCGTGGTTTGGTGGTTCTCCAACTCTATGATTCAAAATTTGATCTAATGCAATAATCTGATATGAAATTCAGAAATGTAATTTAATAATTACATTCTTTTGAAGTATCTTTACAACCGTACTATAAACAGATTTTGCTGTTCTGATGCTTGAAAACAGCAAACTGGAAACTGGTGCAGTTTTTCTTGACTCGAGCTCCCCCCAGAAGATTTATACTGTTTAAGTGAGTGAGTTAACAAGCACTTTAAACCTCAGGTGTGTTGTGTCACTCCCAGAATATGTGTATCTCTGCCTGTGTCCTGCATAAGGCTCCCAGGTTACTTGGGATATTTGCACAGGTCATCACTTGCTGTGATGAAACCCCGTCTTTTGTGTTTTGCACAACCAAGTGAGTGCCTGTAATTGGACTAGTGATATTTATCACGCTGGGAGACTGATGATTTACTGGCTAGTGTTTATGAACCTTTCAAAGATACGATACTGCCGAATAGTCCTTAAACAAGGTCTACTGTGATCTTCACATTTCATCAGCCATTTCGGGAATATGTATAAATGCTGATAAACTTGTGGGTACAAAAAGGACCAGACAATCAGAT